TCCTGGATCGTGTCTGAGGATTGATCGGAATATTTTGTTTTGTAAATGAGGCACAGTGTCACGGAGAGTTCACAAAGAAACAATTGTTGAAAGATGAAGCAGTACTAGATCTGACTGCAGTTACATCACAAACCGTAAGTAAATCATTTCATAATGCTTTGTCTGGAAATTACCATATTTTTTATCATGTTGTCAAAACACTCACATCCAATAGAGAGGGGATGATGATACTGTTTCCTATGCAATGAGTTTAGCCAATCATAACAGTGGCCGATTCCTGACAAGCCTTAAAGGACACGCCCCTTAAAAAAGGTTGTTTTAGAGAGAGGGTCAGGATTTATTACAGGTCATATTTATTTGTTTTTTTTGTGAAAAAACGTTATTAACATTATAAGTAAACCTCAAGGAACATATTAAAATAATAAAAAATCCATGTCATGACCCCTTTAACTACTTTTACGTGTTGATTTTCCCTTTCTTGTGTTTCCTGATCTTTAAATGCAACAAAACAACACTGTCCCATTTCTAATGCAATTCACCTGAGATGTGAGAAAATGCATAGATTTTTGTTTAACCTCTGTTTCACACAAAATCACTTGTTTCCATTCACTAACATTGCTTTAACTCTCTGTCTCCGTTTTTCCAGGAACCCAAAACCACCCGAAGCAGAATCAGATGAGCGAAGGCCTCTCTGACCTTGCTGGAGGTCACACTCCTTCGCACTCGACAAACACAGTTAAACACAGTTCCCTGATTCCAGGCACGAAACTCACAGCAAGAGAACAAGTCATCTGTGTCACCAGAACACTGATTAACAGAAAACGCTAACTCTCAGAGGTCAGCAGGAAGCCATGCCACCCCGGCACTTACACTCTAATGGCTGCTTTGTAAAACTGAATTAGAAACGAGAAAAGAAACATGAAATGAAGAATAAAAAGACTTACTTAATGTGTCAAGTGCAATAATGAAGGGTTTAATGAATAAGTCTTGACACATTGTCCTCCACTGGCTCATGCCAACCCACCCAGCTATAATGCTAACACATGAGGGACACAAAATCTTCTGATTTTTAAATCAGCTTTGTGCACTGCTGAGGTTACATTTGATTGGCTGTTTCACAGATGCATAACTCTAAGTAATGTACTGTGGCACAGATGTGACAATGAGATAAGAAGGAACTGCTGGCCTACATATTATTCTTACTGTTCAAAGACTAAAGGGCTGTTTATATCAAGGACAATAACTGTAATGATAATTATAACTATAAAGTTTTATAAATCATTCTAATTCTGTGAGAATAGGGAAGTCCACACCAAAACTATAACACTAATGGCATAGTGGAACAATACCATTTTTTTTCCAGCTGATGAATGCTAAAAACATTGATAGCCAATCAGAATCCATCTGACTCACATGTAAAGCAGCAGATGACAAAACTGCAGTGCATACTTATAATAAAAAGAACATTACATTATCGTTATTGTTATCATTCTTGGTAAAAACAGGTCTTAAATGTATAGGCCCATATGACAAAAAATTTAATTCTAAATTTCTGAATTAATTAATTGCTTTGGACAAAAGTGTCTTCCAAAGTATCCCAGCTAACTTACATAAATATATTTGATCTAACAATTATTCATATCCTTTTATTTGTAACCTATTACATATGTTCAGTTATACTAACAGATAAAATGTGACCGGCAAAGGTGCCTTCCAAAAAAGCTGATATTACTTTTATTACTGATATACACTTCTGGAGCGCCATATTTAGGCCTAATTTTTGACTTTTGTTCAGCTGACCAAAAACAATCTTTCCAAAGAAACTTTCAGTAGACAAAAACTCCATAAATTTGTGAATTTTACAAAATTACGTTCCCTCACAACATCTGCATTTAATGAAATATGGCGTCTGACTAAGGTGTATGGAAGCGGTTGATTTACCTGAACAGAGCAGCGGTTTTTTTTTAAGGTCAGAGCGTCCATGTCTTCTCCCCACCGATCTCTCTCTGAGCGGGTTTCTCTCAGTACTGAGCAGGAAATGGAAAACCCGGACTGGAGTAAAAGGCGCGTGATTACAGAACGCTGTGAGATATTGTCTGTCACTCCGCTCCACTCTACACGGAGCTCCAGACCGTCTTTTGGTGTGCGAGTTGCTTGGTAATTTTTTGCGGAGAAGACATATGTGCAAACTGGCCAGTTATAATAATTATTTAGTATTGTATCTTAATTATTGTAACACTTACAATCCGCCTGTCGTAGAGAACATCAGTAGGGGTGAATACCTGCGGCCTCGTGCTTAAATGGTCGAATCACATAAATACAACCGATAAAATCAATTAAGCGTATAGTATAGTATATATAGTATCTTACATTTATTTTATTTTATCTTTTTTCCACAACGGAACCATTTCCTGGACACAGCTGTGCCGACTTGGACTGCCTCCTTTACTGTGAAGTTTTCTTTTTGAAATAAATCTACAATAGAAACTCTTAATGCAGCATATGAATTGACCACTCACCTAAGTTACAATCAGAATGTCTGTATTTCTAAGAAAAATCCGTCTGATGAACTTTCTTTTGCAAACTTCTTCGCAGATGCCCGTGACTTTTCCTCCAGCGCTGACAGCAGAAATGCCTTGTGGGAAAATGTATGTATAAATGTCCAGAAAGGATGCCATCTCCACTTCGACTGATCCTTGCCGTGCTCTCCGTCTTCTATATAACTTTATCATGTCTTTAACTTCACGTGATTTAAAGTTACTGGTCAAAGCCAAAAAGCGCGATATATTTGTATACGCTCTTGGGAACCGCCACAAGTGCGTAATTACGTAATTATCTCACGCGACGCGACAAAAATAGAAAGCGACCGTTATAATCAACTAATATTATATTGATTTGCTTGAAGTTTTGTAGCGTCGTGTCGCTCTTTTGCAATGTAGACACGGTGTTAAGAGTCTATAATAAAGCTTTGTAAGATGGCAACTGTAAGAAGGGGGCTGCTTGACTTCGTCGTCGTCTGAGCGCTCTGTAAAGCTGTCACCCACTCCGGCCAATCTGTCTGTCACTCCTGACTTTTTCTATGCGGATTCCTGAGTTTAGGCCCGCCCCTTTTCTGTCTTCGCTGTCGAACGCCGACCAATCAGAGGGCGAAGCGCTCGTATCCATGATGGTGCCAGCGTTTACATTCACTGAATGACCCCTTGACCGCTGTACTTTTACATTTAAATATTTTAAACAAGTGTTTTGTATTTTGATTAAATTCACATAGGTTAAATAATAATAATTTTCTTTGCTTTTCATCTCTGAACTAGCTTGTTTCGGAGCCTAGCTTTTTAATAAATAAACCTGACATTTCACTATAGGAATATTGTAGGAATATCCAAGTCACTTTGGATAAAAGTATCTGCAAAATATCTAAATGCAAAATATACATTTAAAAAGAATGCACTGCAGCTGATTTAGTACCAACTCTTATGTTTAGATAATTTCGTATATAGATTTCTTTAGATAATATTCGTAAATTTGAAGTTTTCTTAGTATATTGTATTGTGTATGTCTTAATATATTCACTCCAAAATAAACGCAGTTCAATTAGATAACTAAAATACACTTAATCTTTAGTTTTAAAACCATTTTTTCCGCATAAATAGATTACATATTCAAGTGAGGGACAGTGAGTGAGTGCAACCAATTTAATATTAAAATAACTAAATACAAAATATTTTGAAAAGGGGGTCCCTGCAAATATTCAGGTAAAGTGATTATAAGGTGGTATAAAAATTGTGGCATCAACTCACCATCTTTATCTAAAAGTAACATGGCACCATGCCACGCAAAGGTTACTGACCTTAAGGTAAATGCTAATCTTTTTTTACACTATTTTCATGGGAGATTCTACTTTTTTTTTAATTAGAATTTGTAAGTGTATTATTATTTGATATAATGTATTTTTTTTATGTTCCTGCACATTTAAGGGTGAAATAAGACACAAAAGGACTGAGAGGTCATGACTTGTCGGTTGTGTCTTTGAGAGGACAAAAACTGATGTTGTTTTGCATGCTCCCGTGTGGAATATTTTGAACACAAACGGACCACCGAGGGCAGAAAAACTGTTTTTTGGGTTGTTGATCATTATAAAGACAATTCACAGTTGGAACTTGCAAGCTGGCCTGTGTGTTGACACAATAAGCAGAAGCTTGTGTACTTAAACTGTCATGAGGGTCAGGGCATTAAGATTTAAAGGCCACGTCACCTCACTATACTGTAGATGAAAACAACAGAACTGATGTTATCAGTATCAGTTAATTTAAAATAGCACATAAGTGACCCACAACAACAAGTCTTTTTTTTCCCTGCACATTTTCACCTTCCAACAGAAGTTTAGCCATCATAATCATTCTAAATAGTGTGATGACACCAACACACTTAAAACATGTTACAAAGTTTTTTCTGGCACAAACGTTGTCACAGAATATAGACCATTATAAAGCTGCTGCATTGTTTGTTCAAATGTCAACATGATCTATTGGTTAAAAATAATTTGTGCTTTAATAAGCTGCTTTCTCTTTCAGAAGGAAATGATATGCTGAACTACTTCAGGAATGAATCATGATTTCTGTTCTTCAAAATCAACTATAAAACCAGTCTGGTAAGTCTGCCAAGATATTTTGACTTAGGTTCATGGGTGCCATTTGCAGTACGTGTACAGCATTTTTATCTCTACTGCTTTAGTATTATATTCACAGTCATATCAAAGCTGCAAAATATGTAAAACATTTATTTTTACAATTTTGTAGTTATTATTAAAGGGATAGTTCATCCAAAAATGAAAATTCTGTCAACATTTACTAACACAAAAGAAGATATTTTGAAGTTATACTCAAACTATGGAAACCTATGGCTACCATCAACTGTTTTGTTACAAACATTCTTCAAAATATCTTCTTTTGTGCTCAACAAAAGAAAGAAACTCTAACAGGTTTGGAACAACTTGAGGGCAGAGTAAATGATGACAGGATTAGCATTTTGGGGTGAACTATCCCTTTAAATGGCACTGCACCTTACAACAAATGAAATTCACTTGATTCCAAAACCATAATTTTACCTCCATCTAGTGGAGAAAATACAGTATTACCACTAAGGACAGTTGCACTGCCCTCAAAAAGGAGTGTTATAATAGTTATTTTGTCAATTAATCTGTGTAAGACTTACATTGCTTTACTGTTTACGGCAGAGAAGATCAACTTCAAAATGCATAATAATGCTCAATTACTGCCATGAGGTATGTATGTATTCAGACAAACACTGATTTGCATGTATGCACATTTCCCTTTGCATTAAATACTGATTGATCAACTAAAATGTGCCTATGAGTGTGCATATATGTATGGTCATTATATGTTCTCTTGTACAGGCTCAACAAAGTGTTCGCCATGGTACAGCCCATAGTGGAGTTCGCCCTGCTGGGCAGCGGCCCATGACATCTGTAAACTGCTGAACCGAGCTGCCCAGGTCCCTTTTGGATCTACCACCACCACCCCGCCAAGACCATCCACCCGCTCCTTCATATACGTAAGAGCCAGATCACTAGCTTCCTCTGGGGTCTTGCCTAGAGAATATAGAAAACACACACTTAACTGAACCATACAAGTAAGTGATTTACTAAAATAAAAACATACAGTGGACTAACAAGTACATGGTAGTATCTTTCCAGATCTCTCGGTCAGATGCATGTGACCATGTAATGCACAATAAGGAAGCAAATGGTTTAAAGGAATAGTTCACCCTAAAAATGGTCATTTGCTAAACGTTTACTCGCCCACAGGCCATCCAAGATGTAGATGAGTTTGTTTCTTCATCAGAATAGATTTAGCATTACTTGCTCATCAATGGATCCTCTGCAGTGAATGGGTGCTGTCAGAATGAGAGTCCAAACAGCTGATAAAAACATCACAACAATCCACTATTAATCCATTCAAATCCAGTCCATCAATTAATGTCTTGTGAAGCAAAAAGCTGTGTTTGTAAGAAACAAATCTATCATTAAGGTATTTTGACTTTACACCGTCACTTCTGGACAAATTATAAGTCCATAATACCGCTTCTTCCAGTGGAAAACGTCAATCCCCTATTGTCCTCTCACATCAAAATCCGCAGACAAATTTGTTTAGAACTGTTTTCACTTAAATGGGGCTTGATCTGTGCATATTTTTCTTCTGATTCAGACGAGACGAAAGCAATTTTATGAAAAGAGGACTTTAAAACAGAGGAAGTTAAAAACATATTGGTGGATTTGTTTATTACAAGCCTTTTGCTTTACAAGACGTTAACTGATGGACTTGAGTTGTGCGCATTTCTTGTAAATTATTGTTATGTTTTTATCAGTTGTTAGAACTCTCATTCTGACGGCACCCATTCACTGCAGAGGATTCATTGGTAAATTTCCCCAATTCTATTTCAATGAAGAAACAAACTTATCTATATCTTGGATGGCCTGAGGGTGAGTAAACTGTCTATTCCTTTAAATTATGTGGTTTGTAAGGATTGGATCTTAGGTGAGACCAAATAAATCTCATCAACACCCTGCCCATATCAACACACATATAGCAAAGTTGACCTCTGCTGCGTCAGCGAAAACACTTCCCGTTGTGTTTAAGGCAAAAGCAGACATACAGATCACCTCAACAGCTACACAACATACTGGCTAGGTAATGGCAGACCATGTTATTTGAAATGCCCTTCTGAGGATGTGCAGGGAAGTTAATCTTCACTCTACTGTTGAGACAGCTCTACACCTCTGACTTCCATGTGTCTGCTCATTGTAAATGGTGCTGGAAGTGGTTTTACGTAACACATTGTATGAGACTGACTCAAATTGTTTTTACTGAGAACAATGTTTACCTAAACAGACTTGAGGTCAAGCATCTTAATGAGGCCCTAGATTTCCAGTTAATGTGTAGCTGCAGTAATTCAAGCCATTTATTCACTAAAATGTGCCAGGAATTGGTTGCACAGCTAATCATGAACACATATGAACCGCTCATGTCAATATACCTGTTGCTTCTAAATCAGTATTACAGTGCAGATTGATTTATGGTCCAAGATGTGACATTTCTATTTGCCATGCAGTAATAAAACTACAGAGTACAAGTGCACAGTACAAAAGAAGAGAGATATCAGTTGGTCATATGGCTACTAGACTAACTTTCTTTATATAAAATGATAATTACGTCTAGTAAAATGTACTATAGGAAGGGCATTATCACAAAATAAACCCAGACAGGTTCATTTTGATCCCATCATGATGTAAAGCTCTTGCAATCGTGCTCAGACAGTTATATATTATTACTCTACAGTTCCAGTTACTTTTTCTAGAAACTAATTTTAATTTACTTTAATTTAACATAGTACTGTCGCTTTTGATCAGTTTAATATGTCCTTGCAGTTTTTTTTAGCATTATATAAATAAATATGTAATATGTAACAAATATGGCAATTTTGTTCACCAAAAATAATAAGAAAAAGACCACAAAGCTTTGTTTGTTGTTATGCTAAATAAGTACTGATCTTGTAACACATGCCTTGCTCCATGTGGAAGAGAATGAGTCTAGACAGCGTGACCTTCATGATGGCTTCCCCATGGCCTGTGGGTGAGACAGCCCCAATATTGTTATCTGCATAACCCCCACATCCTGAGAATCAGAAGAAGAAACACAAATCCAGAGTGAGATCATTCCTATACACACTCACGCTCAGCAAACCTGTTGCTACAGAAAAAATTCCACCTGTTTGAGGCAATCCCTGATAATATTCACAGAATAAGGGAAAAAAAACTTTTTACATTTCTACTTATTTACTCACTTACTAAATCAGACAATACCAGCAGAGTATATTCCCGTTTACCCAGCTCTATTTCTATCATTAACTAGTGTGTATGTGTGATTCCCACAGGTTAAAATGTGTCCTGAGAGAATGTGGTGTGGTGTGCTGAGCTGGGGATTAGATCTGTGGTTTGAATATTAACTCAGCAGGCAACAAGCTCTCATGAGCAGCTGAAAATTACACACATTCTTGCATGTCTAAAGGTCAGAGTTCAATCCCCGTCATATCAGCTGCTTAGGTTTTTGTGTGTGTAATTTTTCAATGTTAAAATACTTCTATTTCAGTTTAATACACAGAAACAGCTATACGTAAAGCCATTTGTAGTCTGATTCCTTGGAAAGGTTAACACTGGAGTTCTGTGGTGCAAATCAAATCAAGGCCCCTAACATACATTGCAAAGCAGCAAGTTTGGATTTACCAACACACGGCGTGTCTCCCACACGACCCTCCATTTTATTTATCATTCCACCAGTGGACGTGGCACAAGCAATGTTCCCGTCTTTGTCCACAGCTACTGCACCGACTGTTCCCATCTTGCCCCTAAAACACATGCATACAAAGCAGCTTTACAAACACACACATGAACAAAATGTTTTAATTAATCTGAGTAGCAAAGGAATAGTTCATCAGAAAGAAAGAAATCAGATAAAGTACATAAACAGAGACACGGCATGTGTTGTAATTTCTAGACATTTAAAATGAATGCACAGAATATGCAAAATTACTGACTTTCCTTTTAAACTGTCCTTTTTTAATGAATTATGCTTTATTGATAACATAACGCATATTTCATATAGTAAACAAAACTGGACCGGGCCTCTTACTTTCAATATATAATAATAATAAAACTGGACCCCTTACTTTCATTGTAAATAAATAAATAAATAAGGAATGAATGAATGAATGAATGAAAATTCAGCTTTGCCATCACAGGAAAAATGCCATTTTAAAATATATTCAAAAAAAAAAAAAAAGTTAAATTCTGATAATATTTCACAATATGACTGTTTTTACTTCTTAAAATAATGCAGCCTTGTTGAACATAAGAGACGTCTTTCTTAAAAAAAATAAAAAACGGGATTATTCCAAACTTTTGATCGGTAGTGTATATATAATCTTTTGTGTTTCATAGAAGAAAGAAAGTCATACGAAACTGATTGTGAACTATCCCTTTAACTATTGTTGCAACTCTTTCTTCTTAGTAGAAGTTCTAGACATTAGGCATCTTATGCCAAAAACTTTATGTCAGCACTTTGTACCAGTTTTCATTACATAAAAGCTTTACATTTGGCATTCCACAGGGTTGGCATCTGGCTTCAGGTTCTTCTTCCAGCGCATCTTGGCATAGTCTGTGATCAATGACTCCTCAGGCACTTCCGGTACACCCATGCTTCTGGCAAACTTAAAGGCCCCTTCAGCTGTCAGACACAAGTGTTTGGTCTCCAGAGAAAGGACAGACATTATTTACATTATTACTTTGATTATTTTAAATGCAAAGTTTTGTAAAATCATCTAAAGACTGCATTCATTGTATGCAAAAAGCAACTGATAGCATATAGCCTAGTATTCCCTAGTTACTGTGTATCTAACACTTTTTGTTTTTAATCTTGGTAACTGTAGATTACTCAAAACCAAATCTCCCATGGTGGTTATGTACAGTATTTGTTATGTTATGCATTTTACAACAATACCTTCTCCATGACAAGCCTGGCCAGTTGCACTGGGTTAGCAATTCTTCTGACCGCTGAAACAGCCCCACTATCAAGATTTCTGCCGTCCATTACCATTGCATCCATCTCCACCTCCCCCTTCACATTTAGCACTGACCCCCGACCTATGACATATGGGCATAACCTTTTCTACTTACCCTGGATGTAGTATTAGGTATTAGGTGTGAAGTATGAGTATTATGAGTACCTGCATTGAATCTTGGGTTGTTCTCCATCAGGGCCACTGCTTCAACCACAGCATCCATGGCACTTCCACCCTTCTGGAGGATGGCATACCCAGTCCTGGCTGCCTCCTTTACACCAATAGTAGAGAGTTCAGCTCTTTCTTTAGGAATATGACCAGCACCTCCATGCACCATCACTACAGGCAGCATAGCTGTCCACAGATACGTGATTGAGAAGACAAAAGTGAGGGAAAAAATCTAATAAAAGCAATATAATATAACACTCGCAATCGTGCTGATGGTTTGAATATATTTTTTAACCTAATAATTTAAACCGTATCATCACTTTGACCTAAAGATATCAAACCAGCTGCAAAACGCGCATAATATTATTCTTTACGACGCATAAAGCTACATTCTATACCCATTAGACCCTAATATGCCATACACATATACATACACTAAGTATAAGTCAGTGGTTTTTAATGACTTCACTATCATAATAAATCTGTCAACAGGTACTGTATTTCAAAAGGTGCAATCTACAACGTCAGCCGCTATAATGTCAGTGATTAACAATGACATGTCAAATTGCGTTACTCATTTAGTTTACAAACTGTAATCAGCTGAATCCCGTCATCAAATAAAGTGCTCTAGTCATCCGGAAGAGGGGTTAAGATTCATCTCACTCAACTGATGACCAAATCTAAATGCAGCGTTTTTGAAATTCTGTGCACGTGCCCACATATGCATACAATTAAAAATGATATTTAACAAGGGTTCCTCACCAGATTAACGACTAACGACAGGAATATGAAATCACAGATAGCAGTAGTGATGCTCCGACGCAGTTTTCAAAGCACTGTTGTATCTTCTTCTTCTTCTTCTTCTTCTTAATGTTTAACGGCGGTTGGCAACCAGCGTAATTGGTGCATTACCGCCACCATCTGCTCCGGAGTGTGGATCAGACAACAGGTTCTCAGACTAATACACCCAAATTCCCTCCTTCTCCCCCAAGCATACAAATCCACACACTTCATCCTTATTCTACTATATAATAATAATAATTTTAACCTTCCTCAATACTCCTATAACTCTTCATACTCTATTAAAAACCGCTGTGTCCCTTAAGAAATCCATAAGAATTCTAGTCTGTGCCCTATGTTGTGTGCTCAACAGCCCTTTTAATGTCATGTCCTGAACCTCTATCTCTCTCAACTTATTCCTCATCAACTCTCTCTGAACCTCATACCTGCTGCACCTCAAGACCACATGCTCCACTGACTCCTCTTCCTGGCAAACCTCACACAATCCAGTATCATGTTTTCCTATTAACTTGAGTGTTTTATTTAATAAACAATGTCCCAATCTTAACCTAGATATGACTGTTTCCTCTCTGCGATTTCCACTACCAATCACTGAACATTTAACATCCCTCTGGATTTGATATAAATGCCTTCCTTTTCCCCTCTCTATCCCACCTCTCTTGCCACATTTGATTTATTGTCTTCCATATCACACACTATTGTATCACACACTGTGCCGGTGCTTGTATCGAAATGACAATACCACGTGATTGATGACGTTTGCAGCTTCGACCGTCATGCAGTATCGGAAGGTCGGGACAGCTGGTTTGAAAAAAATCGGCGCTTCGCATGATTCTTGTGTTTGACTTCACATTGACTTGGTTGTGTGTGTGTGTGTTATTTGGGATTCAGTAGGATAGTTTAGAATAACCTCAACACCAGACAGAAACTGAATGCACGTCACACCTCTATTGCATTTTATCATGTTCTAGCTGGGGTCTAAGAGACCCCGAATGGCTCACCCAAAATATTTTTGCTACTACTCACGTCAATTATTAATCACACACTTGTATATTTTATATTTTTGATCAATATGTGAATCCATTGACCGGACTACGCATGACACGAGTTGGCACAGATTAAAAACGTTTTCAAACCATCCTCTGCTCCGCGATGTTTCGTCAGATAGGCTGGAGAAACCGAGTCTGACCACCAGGTGTCGCTAATGCGCACTGTGTTAAAAGAGTAATTAACTGTTTTTCGGCACAATTTGATGAAAGCCTCAAACGGTTCAGAAAGCCTCGGTTTCCCATCACTAGATAGCAGAAGTGCATTAAAAGCGAAGGAATCTGTAGATGGTGTAACAGGGACAACAAATAATATGACTGTACACACGTCCTTACAGCCACGGAGAAAACACCAAAATAAAAGTCCGCTCTTCAACCATTGCACCAGTGCTTAGAAACTGGACATGCAAACGGACAGGAAAAAAAGAAAGTAGGCCTACACCATGCAAAACACCGACCTTATATTGCAATCAATATGATGCAACCGTTTAATGTCTGAGATAAAAACTAGGATTAAAATAATCCCATATCGCATACAAGAACACCGAAAATGCATTTCTCGCTTTAATACAGACTGAGATATGTTTCTTCTGTTTTGTTTTGTAAGGTGTCCTTGGGTGTTTTGAAAGGCGCCATCAAATAAAATGTAGGCTATTATTATTGTTTTTATTTATTTATTTTTAAAATGTCTTTTAGTAGCCTAGCCTACATTAATCAAAAAACAAAACAAAACTGCTCAGCATTTGATTACCAATTCATTATTTAATTATTGCATTACGTATATAGCCTACTTATGCTATAAGTTTATATTAAGTTGTTCAAAAATATGTTCACATGTCATAGGCCTACAGTAGGCCTATCTATTTTCAAAGCTGGACACACTGTAAAAGTGTTGTTTCAACTTCAAAAATTAAGTGCTGCCTTAATAATTTAAGTTGAAATGTAGGCCTAATGTTAGTTATTAACTGAAAACTTGAATATTTGTGTTATCTCAAGTTTAATTCAGAAAAGTTAGCCTATTCAACATTTTAAATTGTGGTAACTAATTGCAACAGTCATATTTTACATGGCTATTAACTAGTTTTATGATTGTACAAAATTTGTTCCTTTCCGTTAGGCTAATGATTTAAATGGCAGAGAGGCACTTTTGGCAAATTGGGACATTCCATGAAAAAGATATGTCTATACGAAAATTAGATTAATTATTATCCCATATAAAATCACAATCGCAAATTACCCTCACATTTCACTCTTTTAACATGCTTTGCCTCAGAAGGTATTGTCATTTTTCATTTACACCTGTTTGTGCAAATGTATGAAATTAAAGGTTGTTTTAAAGATAAGAAATAATGATAAAGATGATTAAGCTTAAGTTTCCCCCTCAACCAGTCCCATTTTGTGACCCCATTTGGACAACTTTAAAGGCGATTTTCTCAATATTTAGATTTTTTTTTTGCACCCTCAGATTCCAGATTTTCAAATAGTTGTAGGCTATCTCAGCCAAATATTGTCCTATCCTAACAAACCATGGGCTACATCAATGGGAAGCTTGTTTATTTAGCTTTCATATGATGTATAAATCTCAATTTAAAAAAATTGACCCTTATGACTGGTTTTGTGGTGCAGGGTCACATTTCTACGTGAAGTTAGTAATTTACAGCAAGTCTGTGTTTCTATGTGTGCATTATTATAGGCTTGGAGGGGAGAGGCAGGCGGGCGGGGGGGGGGGGGGGGGGAGAGAGACAGGATAAAAAGCCGTATAGGAAGAGAAGCACAACCGTGGGTGCCCGCCGCAACGATGAACGGTTCGCCACGCTCGTGTCAACCGCAGATAAGCCATCGGACTATGTCCTGAATAGCGGTTTACATAGCTGGGATTGTGCACCGATCATACAGGGGTAAAATATGTCCGCCTCGGTGGGGCCCCGCGACAGCCCTCGCCCACCCACAGCGCAGAGCTCCATACCCGAGCTACCGGACCTCAGTCACCTCACCGAGGAGGAGAGGAAAATTATCATGGCTGTGATGGTTCGGCAGAGGGAGGAAGAGGCAAAGGATGAGGCCGTGCTCAAGTAAGACATCACGCTTCATAGGGAGCTTGCCTGTAGTATTTGTGCTGCTTCTGGAGACCAAAAGGCAAACATCAATTTAAAAAAATTGACCCTTATGACTGGTTTTGTGGTGCAGGGTCACATTTCTACGTGAAGTTAGTAATTTACAGCAAGTCTGTGTTTCTATGTGTGCATTATTATAGGCTATATTTTAGCCACTCATCTGTTGCGTGCTGAATTTTAATCTCATCCGCGAGTCAGGCTCGGTGATTCTGCGCGTCACCAGCGCGCTGTGATTGGAGAGCGAAAATGGGATGCTGTGCGCGCGTGCAGCGAGCCCCCATTCTCAAATGAGAGTGCGCGCGGCGCGGCCGTCTCGAGGAGGCGTGCGCGCGCTCGAGGGGCTGCGGTCCCATTGACTATTCCGTCTCCCTGACAGCGGCAGCATCAGCAGCAGCACCGCGAGCTCGGAAACAGAGCGCCGCGCGGACTCCGCCTTTGCTCCCATCATCCCACCCGAGAGCCCGAGCTCCGAGGGGGCTTCAGCAGCAAGCGCAAGACCCCCCTCGTCGACTCGCACTTATCGGTGCATCTGTTTGCAATAGCCTACTAATAAAGCCATCAAGCTGTACGCCTGCACCTGAGCTCCTGTGTGTGTGTGTGTGGATGGGTGGGTGGGTGAGTCCATGTATGTCCACTTTCTCCCTCCTTATGGGCACCTGTCATAGATGAGCACCGCTTGTGTATTCATAGACATCCATATGAAACCATCTTGTGTAATGAAAGGCCAGGTGACCGGTCACAGGTGTAGCTGTTAAAGAGAGAGGGATGTGTCGACATGCAAGAACTAGATATCCACAACTCCATACATCCTGCTGTTTTACACCTCACTGTGTGATGGATTAGTTTCAGGCAGCACACATCATGTCACATTATTAGTTAATTTATTCGACATATCATGCATTTTGTTTTTAAATAGGTTAGTGAACATTTTCCACACTATTCACCACCAGTGTCAGGATTCCTGCCTGGTCACGACAATATTTCCGTGCCTCGTCATCATGATCGTCAGGATCCTTAACCCATTCATTGAAATCTTCCCTGATTGTAGTGTGAGCATCACTCACAGCTTGAGTAGAAGCATCAGTCATAGCTTTATATTTTCCTCATCCGTTTCTTTTCTTTTCTTGTTAGATCCTCTTGTAATAATAATAACTTTATTTGTATAGCAACAGTATTCAACTCAAAGGGTTTTCCTGTAAAAAAAAAAAAAAAGCCTTTATAAGCACCAAGTACTTCAAATGAAAACCAGTAAAAAATAAGTCTATTTATAAATATTTTTATGACGGGCACTTGTCAGCAGTTGACATGTAGGATGGTTTATAAAGTTTTTTTCTGAATGGCTATTTGTGGTTCTTCAGTGCTGTTATCATGAGTGTGAAGATGTTTCTTGGCTTCCTGTCCTCCTGCCATTTAGAAGCCATCATTGCTTATATTACATTAGTTGTTGGCCACCTTGAGATTTGAAATCAGATTTATGCATCTTAAATTGGTTCACTGAGCAGGTATACAATCAATAACTTAACCACTTCTTGTGCTATACTACTCATAGGAAATAATCATGCAGTTATTTAATTTCTAAGTCTTTTTATATACATTTTTTGTCACTAGACTCTTCTGAAAGAGAAATAAATGACATTGTTTTTGAATAAAGTTAAAGGTCACAGGTCAAATGATCACTGAATTTAGCCTCATTTACAAAGTATTTCTCTAAGAGAGAAGAGACAGATCACCACATAATCTGTGTACTAATCTGTTTTAGTGTGCTGATAAACAACCTCTAATTTTCATTTACTGTGTGTCATGAGATCGATGTTTGAATCGGACAGTTCCTCACTCTCAAATTAACTTCTGTCCTGAAGCAGAAGCTAGAGGTCGACCTCAA